TGGGTAAGAACTCACTGAGGTCATTTAGTCACTTATTAATCTTTAATAATTAGCTGGGGTCTCATAATAACCCTTAGGGATACATCGGGACCTCCTCACCAGTTAATTCTGAGTCTGGATACATATAGCGAACTGAGTGGCTGCAGAGACCTCAGCGGCCATTAGGGGGCGCCCCTATCCGATCAGCCTGTCTGATGACTGATGACAGCTAGGTTAATCAAATGTTGCTTAGGGTCCTGAAATGAGAAATGAGTTGAGGTGGCTCTGGGGATACATGTGGTCTCATTAGATCAGTGCCATATTTGGTGGGGGGGGGGGGGGGGTTAGTATGCATCGATTAACAGGCTTAAGGAAGAGTATGTGTACAGGATGGCTGCAATTTTACAGAATTACTGACTATCGCCTCTAGGTGGCTCCCTCCACAGCGGCTCCCTCCACAGCGGCTCTGACTACTTACACGGCTGTATAGGCAAGATTAAAGTCCAGAACCAGGAAGTGGATCTGGACCGGGCCCTGTACAAACACGCCTCCGTCACATCCCACAGCTGCCCCGTCTCCCCGCTCTGACGCGTGCCCACCCACAGAGGGGCGGCCTCCGGGTCAAACACAAAGGCAATAAGTTCATCTTTTCCAAACTAAATAAAAAAAAATTAAGGAATAAAGAAGACAATATTTCTCAGCTTGATACTGAACATCTCAAAAGTGTACTAAAAAAAGTTCTGAAATGATTTACCTTAATAATAAACAATAGTCATATTAGACCAAATATATATTTGTAGAAATAATAAACCAAATAAAGTTCATACTTTTTTAAATTGTCAAAAGTCTCTCTTCACTTCCATTATGCCTAAGCGACTAACTTGGGGCGCAATGAATTATGGGATTGTTCTCATTTGGTGAGGATATCTTTGATATTTGGTGGGGGGGGCAAGAACAATGTCCGGGGATTTTTACCGTCCTCTGTGCTTCTGTTCTTGAGTTTTGGACCTGGTCTTCAGAAACGGAAGAACAAAAGCTCAGTCAAGCACGCATACTGAATAACACACATAGTTTGCATAAGCCTGTGGAAGATGGATGGTAATAACTAGTTGAGCAGAAAGACTCACCGTCACAGAGTACTCAACTGTGTGTAATGGATTTGTTTTGTGAGTAAAGTCCCCAACACATTTTTATAAATTATACGATCAAATATCTTAGTTTCATCAGAATATAAAAAGTGTAATATTTGCTGTTTGATATGGTATTGAGCTTTCTGACAGATTTTTTTGACATTGACAAACCCCGTGCTTAAAAAACATTACGACACATGTAATGTCATACCTCCTGTTGTACAAAAACCACCCATTTCAGCAGAGGGGGCCCTAGGCAAACACTCCATGGGCGCCTCCAACTCCACCTCCCCCTTCATGGTAAAGTTTATGACCAGTGTAAATTCATAATATCAACAAAGACAATTTAATAAACACAAGACCTTTACTTTCACTTTTGTGAAAAATGTAATACACAAATAAAGCCGATTTGTCATTGCAATTTACCCTGTAATCGGCCGCCCTCGGAGGCCCCCCTCCCACCTCGGGGCCCCAGGCCAGTGCCTGCCCTGCCTGTCCTCTCGCTGCACTTCTGGTTGTCGGAGAATGTCTGGTTGACATTCTCATGGCATTTCCATACCAGCCATGAGGGGGCGCCATGGAACAGTTGCCCGCAGTTATCAACAGTATCTCTGAAATGGGTTGCCTGTCCTGTCGCTGTTCCTCTGCATTCCAGCATGACAAAACTACAAAGCAGTGTTCTTCAAATTATGATCAGATGCTTGTATCGAGGGATGCCAAAGTCACATGATCAAATGACACTCGCTGGAACCTTTGCAATGCTGCAGTGCTTGTTCAACCAAAGGGACCCAGTGGACACTGCCCTGGTAAGTTTAAAAATTAATGTTACCCCACTGAAATCTGAAGAGTATCACTCAATAAGAGGTTATAGATGTGCTCAATGCTTTCCAGCTGGCCATAAAAGAAATAAAACAGCATTTTCCAAAATTAAGAAACACGGTCAAAGAAAAACCGTGAAACTCCTCTCTCCTGAAAGCCACTATACCTCTCTCCCTCCCCTCCCCGACCGTATCAGTGCGTAAACCTCTTAAAGCGACAGACATCCCTTTAAGCTCAAAGTCAATCGACTTTTGACTATTTAAAAATATTTGTATACTGTACATTTATTAATGATAACTAATATAACGTTTGCTGTATTCAGTACTCCAAAAAAGTTACTGTAAAGGAAGTAAAGCATAGTACAGAACCAAATGTTATATGTTTTTTTTTATCCATTTTTCACTCTGTCCACCTTTATTCTCTACAATCTTATCAGGACTAGGTATAAATAAGTCAATTCCTGGTGTGAACTTTTCAAGATGCATTCTGGAGCTCAGCATCTGGGACGTTAATTACCGTGTAATAGCTTTGGCCCTGGGAGTTTCAAATTTCCACTCACAAACTTAATTAAATATTAAGAATTAAACAAATGTATTTGTGTTCAGAACAATTATAACAGCAGTAATTTTTTAGACAAAATCTCTGTTACCCATATCGTGTTCAGCCCACATTTACCCCACATGGGTTTGCCCAGATCCTGCCCATATGGCCCATGTCTTTCCCATATGGGAAATACTACCTGGGAAGTGCGATTAAATATATGCAGTTAGGAGCCATTTAGCTCCTACACAGTGCTACAGCCAGGGGCGCTGCTAGAGATTTTGGGCCCCATGAAAGCATATCATATTAGGCCCCCCAGTCCAAACCAATCCAGTTATTTTCCTAATTTTTTAGGGCCCCTGTCACTCAGGGGCCCTTGGAATCGTCCTAGCTTTCCTCCCCCTTACGGCACCCCTAGCTACAGCCTTTATGTAAAATAGTGTATTATTCGAAAGGACTGGCAGTTCAGCACTAGTTAATGTTTATTATATTTTGCAGAGAATCTGTGGGGCTATTAGACAGCCATGTGGAGGAAACCAGGCAGGTCAGAAATGCCACAGCTGATGCAACTGTTGAGGTTCAGTGCTACCTCAATGACCAAATTATCCACTTCAGTACTGGGCATCACAAAACATGTCCGTCCTACTCCTTACAATGTAGCACTGCAGTTTTGATGCAGTCCAGCATCGTCAGTGCCATGTGAACATATTTTTTCAAAGGCTGGGGAGGTTGTTTGTAAGAAAAGGAACAGACTGAACCCCAAGACTGTGGAACAAATACTCTTCTTGAATAAAAATCTTTAACTAGCCCCCCCTCCCATGTACGACTGCCTGCCTTGCCTGTCCAGCCCCTACGCCTCTCCTCTTATACAAAGGGTGGGTTCATGAGTATATGTGCTGACATATCCCATTTCAACATCAGCGTGGCAACCTGAACTAACCAGTATGTACCAAATTAATAGGTGAAGCGTCATTGGAAGAAATACAATAGTTCATAAGTTTTTTTTTTTTTATCGTTTTGTTATTTAATGGATTTAATGAAATCGCATCCTACGTGTTATGCTTACATTGATATAGCCTAACAAATACAAGATACAACGATAGGCTAATGAACAGAACTCCCTTTAACACTTAAAGCATGAGAATGTGCGCGTGAACATATTACCGTACTATATGTTGTAAAATAATGCTTGTATATTATTTATTTTGAAACTGGTGTGAGGGACTGACCCTTCAGCGAATGAACGTAACCGTACACTTTGTACACTTTGTGGTGTAAGCGCTCCTGGAGAACAGTCTTGGACCCCATGCATATTAATATCTATAAGAGCATAAACATGTAAACACGCAGTCCCTCCTATATCCCTAATTACATTTATATGTAATCGTGACTGAACGTCGGTGAAATGGCCGAACCTGCACAAACAGAATGTTTAATTTTCATATGAACTCAAATGACCCGGATATCGGAAAATCTGGTTAAATGAGAAAAACTGGTCCCTGAGCCAGCTGACAGACACAATGCAATCTCTAACCTCATTGTCTGGTGCCTCTGTGAGTCTTTTAAATCTGTCCGCGTGAATGAAGAGTTTTTTTGGACTTTTAAAAGAACATGGAGACAAAGGGGACTTTGTGGAGTGTCGATGCCGAGCCTTTTCACTGTGAAATTACTCCCGCCGTAATGTAGGTCACAGACCCGCAGTGCGGCCCGTGTCTTGAAATATCAAAAATGATACGTTTCCCCGATATTCTCTCGTTGCTCTTTAGAAAGCAAAAAATGTTGTGGAACCGGTTGTGGTACTTTCTATTAATAACAGCTAACTAAGAAATTAGTGTATCTCCTTGGCTGGCAGGGGTGGTTCACGGGGGCCGGTATTCCAGCCCGGAGTAGCCTCTGAGTCCGGCGTTCAGCTCCAATCATGAGTCATGCATATTAATGTCTCCCTGCAATAGCAACTCGAATGACACAGCAGGTGTACACTGGAAATACAATGGGGAAAATGACACGCCCGAAATCTAGTACCGTCGTTCCCTATAATGAACAAAACGGAACTGAAATATCTGGAGGCATCTGCAGTAAATAATTTTGTGTCCTATAATTTTACTTTTTGTATTTTAATTGCCATAATTGTCGCCACAAAGGCTTCATGATATGGATACGCGTTCTGTAGATAGCACAGCAAAATCAAACCACATACATACGCATTGCCTAAATGTCAAAGAGTTGCTGAGATAATTTAGATCTTCCGAGACAGTGAAATCTTTATGGGAATTCTTTTTTACGTATTAACTTTTAACATATGGTATGTACTATCCGATTCTTTTCTTTTTATTGTCAGATTCACTACAATGACATTCGAGCGTTTTTACGTCACAGGATAATACCAGCCAATCAAATCGCACATCGACCGCGTCAAAGCTGGGCTTCGTACTGTTATCCAATCACAGGCCGGTACTGGGCGTCAAATCGGAGAGCGCCTGATAAAGGCAGGGGCTCGGTCAAGCGTTTTCATTGGACAAGCCGACCGGCGGATCGGCCGGAGGTGTTCCGCGGTTATATCCGCACACAAAAGCACGCTGGACCTCCACGATGCGACAGACATATAGGCCGAGGTGACACATAAGGACGGATTTTGGGGGAGTTCTTGCTAAAATAAGAACGAGTATGACGAAGTGAAGAGTTACTTCTCAGCGAAAGTCACATAGAGGAACCGCCCCCGGCAGTCCCTGATGAGCAGACCTGGAAACGCCGGCAGATACATCGGCAATACCGCTGCCTTCTGACACGAGATCATGGATTTCATCCTGAGCGGGGTCGCGGCTTGCGGAGCCTGCCTTTTCACCAACCCGCTGGAGGTGGTGAAGACGCGGATGCAGCTCCAAGGGGAGCTGAAAAGCCGGGGATCGTACCAGGTCTACTACCGCAACGTGTTTCACGCTTTCTACACCATCGGCAAGGTGGACGGGATTGCGGGACTCCAGAAAGGACTCGTCCCGGGACTCGTTTATCAGTTCTTCATGAACGGTGTCCGCCTCGGCTCTTACGCGATCATGGAGGCGTCGGGCTACATCCATACGAACGGCAGGGTCAGCACGATCAAAAGCACCGTGGCCGGTGCTGTTGCTGGCGTGGTGGGTGCCGTGATAGGCAGCCCCATATATTTGGTGAGTACGGAGCGTTTATAGCGTAGTACTGACTGCACGAGAGCCGGGTCATCGCATTCTCCACCTGAAGTATGATGTCAAACTTCTTTTTGGGGATGATGCAATTGTTGAGGCAGTAGCCATAGATACCGAAGTTAGATGGAAAACCATAGATCACCAACTCTTAACAAAAGCCATCCACTAGGGATTACACTTTGAAGATGCCTATAATATGCATTTTAGTTATACCTATTTTGTTGTTATTGTTCTTGGCAGGTAAAAACTCATCTTCAAAGTCAGTCTACCTCCTCCATCGCAGTTGGACACCAGTACAAACATCGGGTGAGTTTTTGCATGTAATTTTTCACAAATGATGTGCTGTCCTGTCCTGTCATTAGCCGTGTCGTTCCCAGCTCACCTTACGCATTACAACACACCAAAACCTCTCTTTCAGGGGATGATCCACGCCCTGGTGGTCATTCACAAGGAACACGGCATTCTGGGACTGTGGAGGGGCTCTAGCGCAGCTGTGCCCAGGGTGAGCGTGGGATCAGCCGCTCAACTTTCCACCTTCTCCGCCTCCAAGCAGTTTGTTTCTGATATGCAGGTGAGTGCCGCCCCCAGTGAAGCCCATCACTGTACCCAGTACATCATGTGTTTGAATAAAAATGTTCTCACTGTAAGTTACTAAAACAGAAAATTTAACTAGTTTAATTTTTGACTATCTTGATGCCCTAACTAAGCAATTCTAGCCCCCATTAATCAAATTGTCACCCTATATGAACTGTATGAGAACTTAACCTCTATGTTTAGGCTGCTTGTTGCTATAGAGACAGAACTAGTCCAGGATCCATGAGACCGCAGGACCCAGGTTCCTGCATGCGAGGTCCCACACGGACGCCCCAGTGAGCCGTGTGTCTAATTGAGGAATGTAGGTGTTTTCCAGGGACAGCTGGCTAGAGGCTCTGAGTGCAGGCATGGTCAGCAGTGTGGTGGTGGTCTTGGCCATGACCCCCTTCGACGTGGTCAGCACCCGTCTCTACAACCAGCCCGTGGACCATATGGGCAAGGTGACCCTTTACCTTTGACCTCATTTCCTGTTACACCTCTAATACTTACTGCTATCCTTGACTGGAATATTCCTGTTCCATGCTATGTTTATGCTAAGATTATGTTGCATAAAGAAAACGAACCACAGGGGGCGCTGTAGCGGCCAGCTGCTCAGGCAGCCCTGTGCTTCCTCGGAGGTACAGGGAGCTGGTGCCTGGACGTCCGGATGTCGGCACATGATCTGGTGACTGACACCATGGTGTCGCCCACAGGGGCTGATGTATAGAGGGTTCGTCGACTGTTTCTCCAAGACGCTGAAGAAGGAGGGGCTGATAGGCCTGTACAAGGGGCTGGGAGCCTCCTACTTTCGGCTGGGGCCTCACACCATCCTGTCCCTCCTCTTCTGGGACGAGCTGAGGAAGCTGTACTGCCCCCACAGCTAGCGGCCAAGAGGGAAATCGGCTCACCTTTAAGCTGCTCGTTTTCGGGAACCAGTCTGCAGTTTTCCACTCTTGGCAAAGAACCGGGTCAGAGTTCATGGAGCTGAGACCACACCAATAATGTCCAGAAATATACCCCCCCCCCCACGTAACTGATGCAGGTCATCTGTCCTGAACCCAAGCCAATGAGACACCCCAGGGCCCACCCACTCCGATGCTTCCATCCAGTAGCTGTGTGGAAATTACACGCCGTTACCCGGTGGTGTGTCATGTTTGCACTGCTCAACACAACCTATATATATATATATATAGACGTTTTTATAGATGTTTTTAATCTGGGGCTGGTGTCAAGTTAATAAGAAATGGTTTCTACATATGTAGTCTGCGCACAGTGTCCAGACCCGACAGGTTTACGTTTTATCACATTGCCGCAGTTTTAAAATGCTTTTAACATTAATGACATCATCCAGCCTGTCCATAGTGTGCAGATAGAGTTTAGGAACATACTCATCCAGAGTTTATTAAAAATAACAGCAACCATCCTGAATTAGGGTAAAAAACACATTTTTAAGTTTTCTACTGTAATGTGAGGTCACTCATTGCCTTCCATATGGAGGAAATTTAGTTTGTTTATGCACTTGAGATAAAATTCTAATTTGTGTTTAACAAAAATCATTATTAATCATTACTTTGATTTACTAAAATAGTCACAAACTGTGATAGTCTTTAACTGGATTGTAATAACTTATTTAACTTATTAAAAATTTAATTTTTACAACAAAGGTGTCGTGTCATCATTTTATGGACATGAACGAGCAGTCATCATTTGCAGATCATGGACACGCCAGTTTTACAATCAGCACCGGGGCTAGGAATCGGGAAATGATCATAGTTACGCTGGGAAACTCCCCTTTTAAACAACTCAGTGTCTACATTAGCATACAGGGTGTCTGTGTTTATAATCTGAGAAAGCTCCGCAGAAACAGGGCCTAACACTTTTTAAATGGAGTTTTATAAATATCAAACTAAAGAGATGCCTTTGTTAGAATAATAATAATGATTGATCCCTGTAGGGAAATTGTGTTTATGCCTCCCTCAACTTACTCTTTGTAGAATAAGCTGTCCGCAAAGGGCAGCCACCAGGGGCCTGTACTACGAAGTGGGGTTATTGGCTTATTGGGGTAACTTGTCAGATTTAAGGTGGTCTGGGTGAAATGTAAGTGAACGAATATGAAGTCCATTTTAACTGTGGTACCTTAAATCCAAGGCCACTGTTGGGGTGCCCAGGGAGATGGGGGTTAAGGGCCTTGCTCAAGAATGTGCTGAGGTTGGGTTTGAACCGGTAACCTTCTGATAACAGCACACAGGCTTAGCCCACTGAGCCACACGCTGCCCTCAAACACACAAGGTGGCTCACGTGACACGGTAGTCTGATTACATCACAGCCTGTGAAGAAAGGCTTGAATGACTTCCAAGGCAACCCTAAAAATAAAATTATGTCAGGCTGACAAACCCTCGTGGTTTGACAGGTGTCACGATCAGCTCCGAACGATCCTCGTGTGTGCCACGCCCTGTCATTACCTCATGTCAATTCCTGATTGTTCCCACCTGTGTCTAGTTAATTCCAGCCTGTCCTGTGCACTTAGTCCGCGTCCGAGTCCAGTCCCGTCAGATCTGTCATTGACATTTGTGGAAGTCTGTGCCCTGTCTGTCCGTCTGCCCTCAATAAATCCCTTTGCCTCGGATTTACGTCTCCTGGACGCCCTGCTCGTTCGCCCTTCTCCCGATTCACAACAACAGGGACCTCAGAATTATTTTCCAGGATTTCACTGCTCAGGTGAAACAGCCTCAGTGAGCCAAACCTCGGCTTTAAAGACTCCTGAACGGCTCGTCTTCGTCTTTGCGAGTCTCATACTGAAGGGAGAGTCATCGAAAATATTTTTTTTTCACAAAAAACAGGTTTATTTACGAGGTAACGGGCATACCCGTTTATTTTAATGGGGCGGAAGCCAACATGTTCAGGTACTGTCAACTCAGTAGAGCGAAATAAAAACAGAACGCTTGGGGTGACAATTAGCATCAAAAGGCAGGAACGGTGGCAATGTCCATCTGACAGGAAATGACATCACCAGGAACAAGGAAAAAAACAGGAATAAGATGTAAAGGATATAAAATTCTGTGAGATCTGAAGAAAAAACAGCACACAAGATGTCACCTGCCCGCTGACACAAGTCCTTCCTCGTCACACTTTGCGACTTCCAAGGCAGTAGAAAACATTTTAAACATTAACACAACCTGAACAGCAGGGGGAGCTACTGCATTTTGAAACCAACAGTGGGCGGGATTTCTCTGCAATGTCAATTACCAAGGGCGTAACCCCATTGGTCACTGCACTGATTCTGGCTCGCAGCAGTCCAACCCACTGTGGGCTTCCTAGGCAAATTCTAAATGTGTCGTTTTTCTGAGGAATATTCTATAACTGAGTAAAACACTGAAAGCAGAATACTCACTCATTAGAACGACTGCTTCCCCTAACACATTCATCTTGAATACTGCCAACCAAAAATATGGAAAATCTACAAAACTTCTGCTCCCCCTGGAGTCCAAGAGAAGTATTGCAGGTTAAGCCAATGTTGTATCCTGTCCTTGTTGACCTCTGATACAGTGGGACACTAGTGGACATCTTCACACTTTCACTCAAGTCTGAAGCTGAATTTAAAAGTCTCTGGTTAGCGGGTACAATAGCAGTTCCCTTCCTGGGATTTTGAGCATCAAGCTTTGGGTTCCGGCTTACATCCCTAAAAGGCAACAGCGCGGAGTCACTGGTGGTTTAAAACGTGGTGAAGTTCATGGACGAATAGCATGGTGAAGCTGGGGCACAGATGGGGGTGATGGGCTGCACTCAGACGTTCCTGGATGATCTCCTACCCAAACACCCCAGCATCCAGGATCTTCAAGGACCAGAGCAGCTGCTGAAAGTCCTCCGTGGTCCATGGGGCCGCGGCTCCAGGCTCCGCCACTCCTGCGCTGCTGCTTAAGGTACTGGGGGGGGTGCAGGGGGAGCAGACGAGGTGTGTGTGGGGGGGGGGGGGAGAATCATATCAGTTCCCTAGCAACTGCTTACACTCAACACATTTGGGTCAGATTTAATGTTGTTCGTATTTATGCTGCTGTATCTATTTACTGAAGAGAATCAGATCAAGAGCCCTGCTCTACACTGCCACCTGCTGTTCTGTGAGAAAGACTGCGGGGCTTTAAGTAGGAGAGGACTTCCATTGGTCACTCAGTTAACCTGTGTTTTCAATCTCTGCACTGCCAGATAATCCCTTATCACAATGTAATCCAGCGGGCTCCTATCCACAGGGTGAATGAACCTGACTGGTCCAGTTGGGCCCAGTCAAACACACACGGCTCACCTGATGATAATGGGATCATTGAAGGTCACCAAGATGTCGGTGGCGAACTGCGGGAGCCGGAAGAGGCCCAGGTGGATGTTCACTGTGTTTCTGGCCTGGGGAGGCAGAAAAAATGAGAGAGAAGATAAGTGACCAACACTGGTGACAGGGAGGAGACAGATTTAATGCTGAACATATGACTGGGCAGCATTTTTAAAAAGTCAGAGTTTTTTTATGGATATAAACTAAAATTCTCATTCTGTACATAGTCAGCCTTTCCATGACGATGTGGACATGCCTTAACAGAAGGGAGATGCGCAGGGGTGTATACGGGAACATCTGAAAGCTGATTGGTCCCTGGAGTGCCCCTCCCCTGTCATTCACTGATTCAAAACATATCATTGGCTAATGATAAGGTTGACCCTTCTGTATCAATTATACAATTATATATCTCTTATGCTCCTCAACAAAAAAATCCTGGAATTGCCCCTGGACATAAACATGATTAGACTGTGCATAAAGTGGATGGACATCCCACTACCCCCAGCCACAGTCAGACACTCCCTCTAACCAGCCGGGATGCATGCGGTCCCACTGACCTCCTCATTGAACTTGGAGACCTGCTGAGTCCCCAACAGCAGCCAGGCAGAGCTGCACTCCGACATCGCCAGGATATCTTTAGGGATGACCTGCACACCCCTCACCTGAGAGGCACCATGGGCTGCCGCTTCATTACTGCCCGCCAAATCCTCGAAGTAATACCTGAGGTTAAATTCTAGGTTATCCCCAGCCACGCGAACCGACACACCAGCCACGCCCACCGAAACACCAGCCACGCCTATTAGCACCCTAGCTACACAATGCCATTCTGACTGGAGCACGACTTCAGAGGTGGGTGTGTATGTCCTGTACCTGGCCGCATCGCCATCCGCTACGAGGCCCTGATACTCCAACAGCTCTACGATGAAACTCTGGTCCGTACTGCTGTGGGCAAACACCTCCTGGTTGTCTGGGATCTCCCTCAGCTCACTGTTCGAAAACCAAAACCCCATCCGTAACAAACACCGGTCAGGCATATAGTTCTCCATCAAACCCAAAACAGAACAAAAACATCTTTTTCACCTGTGATGGCTTCTGTCAGTGCATCGTTTTAACTTTACATAATTATTTTGGCGTAGCAAAGGTGAGGGACGTGACTCCCAGCAACAGAGAAGAGCGTACCTGATGTCGCGGGCGCTGTGCGGTACGGTGGCGGACAGCGCGCCCCCGAAAAGCATGCGCGCCCCCATTCCGTGGGTAAGTTAAGGTAACGCGACCTGTGAATGCTGACAGGAAAGCATTCTGATGGTCATAGTGTTTAATCTTCATTAAAAACCACTAAAACACGTGTCTTCCGTAAACAGTCACAGCATTAAGTTTATTCTCAGTTTCAGTTCCACGTGTAGAATAAAGAAAAGAAGTAAAATGAGTGTGCTATACCTAACGAATACAAAACAAACACTAGCATGTCTTAGTGCGAAACACGTGCCTCATACACGGGTTTCTTATTTTGACTGTCAAGAAAAGTGGCGATTAAACGGATTATCCTATTTAATACTAGTGAGTAATAAAGCAGAAAGTTTAAGGTACAGACCCTGTATTAATAAGAAGAGCCCACCGAACCATTAACATACAAACCTCTTGCGCTAAGCCGCGCTTCTTCCCTAAATTTATTCGCGATGTGAATGTGGCGACTGCGTATCGCACACCGCCACCTACCGTGCAGGAGGGGAACAACGCCGCGCAACTATACAAGTTACTACCTATATAATTAAATTCTGCCAAGTTTGGTCAGTTGGCTGGCCTGAGAGTTTCAATTCGAGACAAGTCTGCACACACATGCACATATATGTAAGAGTTTTATTACCTTGTAGGATTTGCAAAGTAACGTAACGCTTTTGGTATAGCTAACTTATAATGGATTTTTGTAATAGAAAAATATAGATTTGCTGTAAAATTTCTTGCCTGAGAGTGAGAGTCTGAAAGCGTGAGTGTCACGCCAGATGCGTGGAAGATGGTAACCCTGTGCGTGTTCAAGAATGCCGCAGCGATTCACAGGACTCCTTCATATAATACAGGTTGCTAAAGCAGTAACGTTAAAGTTAGCCACTAATTAGAAATGCCTGAATTTCGGGTAAGATGGCATTAGCACTGGTGTGCCACACAAGTGGGGTCGGGCTGTCGGTTTTTTTTCCCCTGGCCCAGAGATAACAGGGGTTTGGGGGGCTAGAGGACACAAAGACTGGGGCGGGACGTTGGAGGGAGCTGAGGAGTCGCAGCATCCATCAGTACCATCCCGTTTATTCCTCAGGCTTCTGTAAGGTTCACTCTAACAGACCCTGAGCAATAATGATGCCATATATGTAGTTTAATACGTCATCAGCTGGGATTCCCTCTGTTTAACAAACCCTTTAGAAGACAAAGTATGAATATACTGTATATACTGTATAAATGATGTAGAAATGGGTTGCCACACTTATGTCAAGGGCCTTGAGGTGACTGTGAAGTGAAAGGCGCTATATAAAAATAGATTGAATACAGAGAAAGTGAGAACTCATTCAAAATCTAAAAAATATATAATATATTATAGTGTACTATAGTCTCTTACATTAGTTGCAGTTTTTGCTTTTAAATTGTAGGCTACAGTTTGGATTACTTTGACTAAGTAAACTAAAAATTTTAGGGGGGGGGGGAGAGAAGAGAGAGACAGACAAAGATCGAAGAGAGCAGGAGAGAGGGAGGTAGAAGCACTGGTGAAGGGATGAGCCCTCAGGCGTATTTTGCAGGGAGCGCCGCTAGGATCGAAACTGTGAACAAAATAAGGGCAACCTGGGAAGCGGCTCTGGGGAAGACGAGAGGGAAGAAGACGATCCAGTTCGGGTTTCTCTTTAGGAAGCAAAGTAAGTGTGATTTCATACAATGGATGATCCTCTTAGACAGCCACAGTGCCACTGTACAGACAGTACAAAGATTAAGTTAAAGGTTGATAATCTGTATAATCGGATCCTCTGAAAAATAGACACTGGCACATCGTCGCTTTTAGGCTATTTTAGACCCGCCCGTTAATTTAGTTTTTAACGGAATTACGGATCCCCTAAAATTGAATCTCCCAAAACGATTAACTTCCCACCTCTCCACACTGGAATCATAACACTGTAACCAAAAACTATTTTTTGCACATTCCTGATCATTCAGTTTCATTGCCCATTTGCATGACTGAATATATCAATTTGCATGACTGAATATATCAATGATATTTTTAAACTGTGTTTTTTAACTAACCACGACCAACGACCGCAGTGTATGACCCATGTATCATAAAGCTGAAGATGACAAATAGATACATTAATTCTGTCCTGATTTTGACTTTGATAATGTTGCACCAGACTGCATTTTTAATCTGAGGAACCAGGGTTTAAGTCTCTGTCCCAGCTCTGTGTGTGGAGTTTGCATGTGTCGTCATGGAGGTTCCTCTAGGTTCTCCAGTTTCTCCCCACAGTCCAAAACATGCTATGATGAATTGCCAATATTTGGGTTAGGCTGCGTTCCCGCGTTGCCCATCAGTGTGAATGTGTGCATGAACGGTTTGCATGCCCTGTGGGTCGGCAGCCCATCCTGCAGGGTTTTTTCCTACCTTCTGNCCTGTAAGGGAGTAAGGCGGGTTTGAGAGTGTGGTCTCACCGAGTATAGCCAGGAGCCTGTAAGGGAGTAAGGCGGGTTTGAGAATGTGGTCTCACCGAGTATAGTCAAGACAAACAAGTAATGGACATCCTTTGGCGAGTGTAACATCTTTCTGAACCAAAGAATGTAATTAAATCCCTTTTTACTGAAACAGGCAAAAAAGAATGTGACGGCTAAAGAAAAACAAGAAAACAGGCATTTGATTTGACCAGGAGGATTTTGAGTAACGCCAGAGGCTATAAAGAGACGACAGGCTTGGAAGGTGCTGGACATCACGGCTGCTTTGTCTTGAGTGCATCTTTGGTCTGTTGATAAAAATGTTTCAGGTTCCTCTTGCCCTCCCCCGGCAGGCGGTAAGCCGGCCATGGACTTCGGGGGCCTGGAAACCGTGGTGGCCAACTCGGCATATGTGTCGGCTCGCGGGAGCATGGACGCCACCGCCGCCACCGCCGTGCGCGACAAGAGGATGCGCGCCAGACTCAAGCTGCCCCATATCAAGCAGTGCGAGGACCTGAAGGCCACTCTGGACATGACGTTCTGCAGTATCTGCGTCCAGCAGCCCATTGGAAGGCGCCTCTTCCAGCAGTACCTGGATGACAGCGAAGCCCACAAGGCCGCCGGCGACCTCTGGAAGGACATTGAGGACTACAGCATCTCACAGGAGAGGGACCGTGTGCAAAAGGCCCAGAAAATCGTCAACAAGTACTACGGCTCTGCCTCCAACACCTTCTGCAGCTTCCTGGAGGAAAAAGCCATCACCCGGGTCAAGGAGGACTACAGAAACATCCGTGGCGATCTGTTCAAGGAGAGTGAGGAGCAACTCTTGAACCACCTGGAGGCCCAGGCCCTTCAGGGCTTCATAGAGAGCATGTTCTTCTTACGCTACGTGCAGTTCAAATGGCTGGAGAGCCAGACCGTCACCGAGGAGTGGTTTATGGATTTCCGGATGCTTGGAAAAGGGGGATTTGGGGAGGTATATGCCTGCCAGATGAAAGCTACAGGTAAGATGTACGCCAACAAGAAGCTCAACAAGAAAAGGCTGAAGAAGCGGAAGGGCTACGAGGTGAGGAGGCATCTCTCTTTATCTCACCGTGGCTTTGTTCCTTTGAGCATGACGTTGACTGTTTACCATGTTGATAGGGTCTTTCCAAGCTGCTTCCTGTGGCTCCCATCGTTTAGGTGTTAGATCTCACTGCAGGTGGGCATCAGACCTAATCTTAAAGCCATGCTTTGCTGCGTTTCCATCTAACCTTGTTTAAGGTTCAAATTGAGAAACCTTTAGTATAAGGGAAGGATATATACGTGAAATAACAATGACAGTAAACCATAATGAACACTCAAGTTCCCAGACTGAAGGAGTTTTGCTGTTACTGCCATTAAAATACTCTGGCTAATAATGGATGACATCAAGTCTTTATTTTGGTTGGATTATATAATTCATAATGATGAGCAGATTCTTGAAAGCCAAGTTATCTGAGGACTTGACTGAGATTCTCTCATACCTTATGATTCCCCACTTGCAGGAACCTCTGGCTCAGGTCCCTTCTGATGGCTTTTTGTGTGCTTCCCCGGGGCAGCATGTGTTCTGGAAGCTTCCCTGTTCCAGTTTGATTCACGAGCCAAACCAATTGATAATAAGGGGATTATGTAAGACGTTTATAATTAAAGAGCCGAACTGCACTCAGCCCATATAGACCTCTCTAGACTCAGGCCAGGCCAGGCCAATGGGCCAAGGCATAAATTCAGGCATGACTAATCGATCTGTGGGACAGGAAAAATTAAGGCAAATAAAGCCGAATGTAGAGTGGCATGGGGTTGGGAGAGGATTGGGTTTTAAAGATAGACCAAGAAGGGGGTGAGCAAGATGTAAGACAAGTCATCAGACTTTATTGTCATTTCAAAATGTGCAGGCGTACAATGAAACAAATTAGCTATGAAACACAGAAGGAAGTGAGGTTGTCGGGGTGATCTCAGTGCAGGGAATTAGCGTGCTGAAATCAGGGTGTTCTTTCTCAGCGCAAAGAAGCTTTTGGGTCTGATATGCACCACAAAGCTTCTCAGTCGCACCGAGAGCAACGGAACTGATGTCCAAACCAATCGTGCTCCTGTCTGTCAAAGACTTAGCAGGTAACAGAGATTAACCTCATGCTCAACGGCTGCCAGATGGAGCTGCCCAAGGACAGCTGAGGGAGAAGATGCCAGCTCCCAGTGAATTCCCAGGCAGAACATTCCAGGCTGTTTTAAGTGTCAGTATTGCTACTTATTGAGTGCAGACTCATGCTAAGGTGGACGATACCTGCTCCATCGCAGGATACCCAACCCAAACACCGCCGGCACCTTAGGGGATTGTATTCATCCAAACATGTGCGTTTGATCTGCACAGACATGAAACCCTGGACATGAATTATGTACGAGGTCACACAGCGTGTCTCCATGTGAATATGCACTTATTCATTTCAAACATTCTAGCTTAATTCTGTTAGTAAATGCCAACTTGGGTGGCTGGGAGGATCAGGAGATCAGGAAGTGACCTCGTCAGTGAGAAAGGGGTGCGCCCAGATCCCAGGAGGCGTCCTGCTTTGCGACCTTAAGTTAGTTAACCTTAATCGGCTCACTAACGCTTCCGGCTGTACAGAAATGGGTCGACATTAATCACAGTGGTTCGGAACTCTGGGCCATGAGCTATCAAGTCAGAATGTGTGTCTCATTGCTGACTGTGGTTCACAAGTCAGTTTGTAAAGACGGAAACTGTTTTCATTCATGTTAAAGATTCTCCTCTGTTGTGGATCAGTGGGCAGCAATGTTCCCTTATACCCCCACGCTTGTGGGTTTGAATCCAGTCGCTGTGCATGCGGTTGAACCCGAAGGTTCTTTTTACAAGCCATGTCATACTGCCAAGATACCTCCCATCTCAAATGCACTAAAAACTGACCAAAAACAGTTACTGTCCAGTTAGTAATTGGAATTTCATCGCCTCATGCAGAGAGGGGGATTACCAGCTAATACTCACCCAGCCGTGTGCATCTCAAATGATTCAGGAGTTTCTCTA